CGAGAGATGGAGTTACAGGTGTGTGCTAGCATGCTCAGCTTGCCTGAGTCTGTTCTGACGGTTGGGCCCACAGTATGCGCCTCTTGTAGTTATAGACCAGAGGGGCCGTTACTTGTGGCATTTCACATGATGAGGACCAGTGTGTGACATACTGTGTGCACGTGGGGTCACAGGACCTTAGAGAAGCAGTGGCCCAACATGCGATGAGCGAAGCCTTGAGTGGACAGAGGGGGGAGGGAATGATAGGGAAGGCCCGGGGAGAAGAGTGGAAAACCCACAGAAGTGTGTGGCAGGGTGGGACGGGACACTGAAAGGGATTGGGTCCCTGGGATGGTCAGGGCAGGGGACAGGCTGGTGACTGGTAGGAGGAAGGAGGGGTCTCAGCTACAAGCAACAATGGCCGGAATATCATCTGAAGGACTGGTTGTCCGCCGGCCACATTATGTGTATTATCTCAGTCATTCTCCACCAGAATTCAAAGTAGCAGATGTGATCGTTTCTACTTTATAAGTAGGGAAACCGAGTTGCAGGGAGCTTAATATTTTGCCATTATGATACTGCTAATAATTTACAGCATCAGGAGATGAATCTAGGTCTGGCCTCTTCTAAAATATTAATGGTCTCTCCAGTATCTTTTGATATCCTTCTTTGGGTGTTGAGATGGCCCCTACCTCTGGCTCAGTGTGCCTGCATTTGCTACCTAGTAGGACTCAGGAGGGGCTGGGCCAACCTCTCTCACAGTGTAGGGTAATCTGTGAGGCCAGGTCCCTCGGTGTGGGGACATGTGAAAAAGAACCTCCTGGGATGCCTACTGCTGGGGTCTGGGTGACAGTGAGTTTCCTTGGAGCCCTGCAGGAACCTGATCACCTGTTTCTTTAAATGGGCAAGATGGAAGCCAGGTGGTGGTGCATGCCTCTAACCCCTGCACTTCGGAGTGTGATACAGGAGAATGTCACAAATCGGAGACTAGCCTGAGCGCCGTAGCTAGACCTAGTCTCACAAAACAACAGGGGATTGTATCTCAGTGAGTAGAGGGCTGGCTTAGCATACGAAAATGCGGCCAGGACCCCGGCATGGGTCAGTACGTGGTGGGGGATAGAAGGCATCCCCAGGTCAGCTCAGCTGCACCAGAGGCTCTCTGTGGTGTCCACTGGCTCTCGGTTTTTGTCTGTGGACTGAAGGTTTGCATTGCACCATTACCAAGTCCCCTCCCAACTCTACGACTTGAGGCACTGGAGTTTGCAGCCCGCCCAGGGGCCTCAGTGACCTCTGCTCAACCTTGCATGGCCTAAGCACTTGCCCAGCCAAACCCAGATTAGGAATTTCTCAGAGAGCAAAGTAATTCCCCGGTGGGGTTCACACATACCCCCCAAGTGGCCAGCCCCTGCTGTCCACAGGCTGCCAGAACACATCCACTGAGCGACAGTTTGACATTCTGTCTCCGTAGTGGGTACAAACAGCAAGCCCAGGAATTTGGGTTTAAAGTCGGGAAGGAAGCTAATCCAGCTCCGTGTAACGCTACGGACCCCCCAGCAAACACCCCCCGCCCCATAACAACTCCCACCCCCACCCTATTCTCAGCGGTGGCGGACAGAACAGGGCCTGCCAGGCTGTTGCAGCGCGTCCACCTGCCACCAAAACCTTAAGATCTTAAGGAGGTCCTGGGGGTTTGCGCACAAATCCTACCGCCCTGCCTCAACCTTTATAAAGGAGCCTGAGGAGAGGTGCCCTGCTCTGCTGGAGCCTCCAGGTCTGTCGGGGAGGGCTCACGGGGATGGGGGTGGGGTGGCGAGGCGGGAGGGGCAGTTCTGGGTGTTCTCTCACAGTCCTCAGCTGCCACCACCCTGCTGCTGTGGAGCACACGGGTTCCTGCTTGAGCTTCATTGCTAAGCCTCCCCTCTCCATCAGGCCTCAGATCCCGCGCCCGCCACCCCACCCCCCACCCCCCTCTTTCTCTTTCGCTCTTTTCTCCCAGGATTTCCACGCAATCTCATGAGCTCTGTCTCTATTTTCTTTGCATATATTCCCCCCTCTCTCTCTAGCTGCAATCTCCCTCCTTCCCTCTCATCCTTCTCCCGCCCTCCTCCTCCCCGCCTCCCTTGCTGCTTAACTGGAACAAAAGTGAGTTTGTTCTGTGTGGGGAAGAGGATACGTGGAGGAGGCAGCAGCCAGAGAACAGGCTGGGGCCGGAGGCAGCACCAACCGCCGGAGACTCCCGAGCCCAGCTGTTCCAGGGAGCAGGTACTGCCCAGACAGGCTGGTCCTGGCACAGACCTCTGCCCTGTCTGTGCTTTCTAATCTGCTACTTCTTCAGGATCTGTCCGCGTCTTTACCTTCTTCCTGGCCTTGAGGGGTGTGGAAGATTCCAGATTTACGAAATATGGGGACAGAGGCCCAAGGGGGGTGTCACTGCCCTTTTACAGAGAACTGTGTGCGTTCCGAAGTGGCTGGGCTCCGGGGCAGCGGAGCGAAGGATGCCGCAGCCTAGGTCCAGGTCACTGGCGATGGTTTGCACCATATCACTGAGCCCAAGCTTTAGGTAATGGAGAGGCAGCCAGAGCGTTCCAACGGGAAAAGCACGAGTGCAAATCTACACGCCAAGAGTTTTGGTCAAGCTGCGGATGTAGCCCGGTGGTGGAGCGCTTGCTCAGCATACATAGGTCCTGGGTCGGTCCCCTGAAAAGCAAGATCAAAACAGAGCCGTGGTTATTGTACTCTGGTCCCATGGGGAATTGGTTTGTCTCCTTGGAATCAGGCAGCCATAGTGGTCTTCCAACTTGAAGGGAGAAAATTAGTTTCTTTTTCTTTTTTTTAAATGAGTTTTCTTAATGATCAGTTTTTGGATTTTTGTTTTGTTTTGTTTTGGGGGTTTTGTGTGTACTTGGTTGTTTTATTTTTTTGAGACAGGATCTCTCTTTGTAGCCCTGGCTGTCCTGGAACTCACTATGTAGACAAGACTGGCCTTAAACTTACAGAGATCCACCTGCACCTGCCTCCCAGGTACTAGGATTGAAGACATATACCACTATGTCTACAGGAATGATCCTCTTTTTTTTTTTTTTTTTTTTTTTTTAAAACAAAATTTCCTTAAACTCAAAGCCAGTGAAGTAAGTTTAAAACAATAGAACATTTTCAAGATCAAATGCATCTGAATCAATGAAGTCCACTGTGGACCTGCACACACGTGTAAGTTCCTAGCACTTTCTGCTAGGAAAATCGTCTCACTTGTGTAGACTGTGTGCTGCCCAGAGAGCACTGTGATTCCCAAAGTCCACTGCGTGAGACCATTAGGAACGGTTCAAGAGCAAGCTCAGGTGCTGGCTGGCCATGGATGGAGTGCCCCGAGGCAGGAGAGGCAGCGGGCAGTTGAGGTAGGACTCTGAGGATGGTGAGTGGAGGAAGGAGTCCTTCGGCCCAAGGGCGGTTGGTGGCAGCGTGGGGACTAGCAGAACGGAATCACTTCATACCCGCGCCGTTACTGTCTCACAGAAGCGGGTAGGAGCTGCAGCAGCTTATGGAGAGGCACGAAGGTCGGGGATGGCCCTGAGGGGCACAGGAAGGGTGCTGACAGGGGCAGGCAGAAGGCCGCACAGCCCAGAGGCTTTCTTCCGTGGGCTCTGAGCCTGGAGGCTGGGGTTGATGCGGGCCCATAAGGACCTTCTGTAGTCTAAGCCTTGGTCAGGGGATTCATGGGTCAGCAAGTGGCAGCTGTGAGATTCATGTCCAGATGGACTAGAGGCGCACTGTGTGACCTACCTTCTGGGACTCCAGGACACGTCAGAGATGAAGGTGAGGTCGATGCCTGGCTCTACTGGGAAGTTACGGGGAAGAGGTTAGGTGTGAACAGAGTTCTTGAAGATACTGACAATGGAGGACCTACGGATCAATAGAGAAGACAGAGTGGGAGAAACTGAGGAGACAGACCGGGAGAGAGGGGGAGAATGTCATGAGGTCTGCGGATGGTTCATGGAAGGTTGAATCAAGGGCTGCTGAGGAAGAAACTTTCTTGAAAACACAGGGGAGTTAGGAGGCCACAGGAGCCCAGGGCTGCCTTTCGCCAAGGCACTGTTCATCGTTTGATATCTCGTCATCCCTCTCCCGGGCTCAGTGTGCTGCAGCCACACTGCCCACACAGTCCCACCACAGGGTAGCTACAACACTCAAGCACACTTCTTCCTGATGTGTTCAAGTCACGACTCAAACGCCTTTCTCAGAGGGGCCTTTTGTGACCAGTGTGTGCTCTACAGCCTCCCCTGGGTATCTTGTCTTTTTCAGAGCACTCAGCACTATCCCAAATGGTCATAGGTGGGTCTGTTTACCTGCTTATTACCTGACTCTGCCATAGCACAACCTTAGCAAGCACGCGGGTCTTCTTCACGGCTTTACTTTCCAGTACCCAGGATGATGCCTGGCACAGAGTGGGGGTTGCTAGACGATGGGAAGAGGGTGTGAGGTGGGGGGAGGAAAGAAGGTGCCTGAGAACTTCAGGAGGCGACTTCCAGGGGGCCACTGGTGAGGAGGCAGAACACCCAGGAATCAGGCCCACCTTGCCAGTGAGGAACGAGCCCACAGGACACTAGCCCATCCTTCCCCTGACTGACTGCCTCTTCCCATCACTGACTGGCTTGGGACCCAGAGGAGCAAGAGAGAGCTCTAACTTTTGTGCCAAGTGAAGTTGGGTCAGGCTGTTCTTCATTTCACTTTTCCGTTCCTGACCTGCTGCTGCTGCCATGGCTTCCACCGTTTCCCAGCCTTCACGGCCACTTATAAGACCCTGAATCTAAGCCCAGACCGAATCCTGTGTCTCAGAGACTCACACCTGCATCCAGTGCAAAGGGACCAGAGTTCAGCCTAACCCAGACTGTGGACTGAGTCTTAGTGAGTCAAGAAACACTCCTCCCCTGCTTCTCCCCCACCCCCTACCTGCTCCGGTCCTGTTGGCCTTGTGGCCTCCTGACCTCTGCAGGGCGCTCGGCAGACCCAGCTCCTTCCTTTTCCAGGGTCTCCGGCTGCTGAGCAGCTACAGGACATCCTGGGGGAGGAAGATGAGGCTCCCAACCCCACCCTCTTCACAGAGATGGACACTCTACAGCATGATGGGGACCAGATGGAGTGGAAGGAGTCGGCCAGGTGAGAGGGGGCTGGGAGGAGGGGGTGTCGGGGGCATAGGCTGGTGGGAGACGGCACCTCACAGCTTGAGTCCTGCCAGGAGCTCCCCCAACTTATGAGCACCTTCCTATCTGCCCTTTTTGGTGTCTAGAACTGTAAACACTGAGGAGCAAACGTTGTCATTGTCAACGAAATGAAAATGCAAGAACTGAGGGGCCAGCTCAGTTGGCAAAGTGGCTGGAGGAACCTGAGTTCTGTCCCCAGAATAAGCCAGCGGTGGTGCTGTGCCAGCCAGGAGGTGGAGATAGGCAGATCCCAGGGGCACATGACCAGCCTAAGTTCCTGAGCATGAGAGAGTCTCTAAAGAATGGTGGGTAGACACAGAGGAACAAGCTTGTCCTCTCATCTTGAGACACGCGTCTGCACACACATGTGCACGCTCACACACATGAATAGGTAGGCCTATACACATTTACAAACACACACACAGAGCATCTAAACAGAATGATAAAACAGTGACTCATGAGACCCTGGACGAGGACAAGAAGGCCATGTATCCTTTCATGTCAAATGGTTCAAACTAAATGCCACAGAGGGGAAAGTACCCGTCAGGCTGGAGTACAAGCGGGGCATTCTGCAGGAAGGAGGGGCCGAAGTCCGAATGGCGGGGAAGGGTCTAGGATTGTTAATCTCAGCAGTTTGGATAAGCAGAGGCAGAGCCGTGGAAGGAAGCATGGGGAATTCGGGGCCCAGTTAGTGGATACAGTGCTAGCCAGGCAAGTGTGAGAACATGAACTTGGACTCCTAGAACCTGTGGAAAAACCTGGGCCGGAGTGGTGGTCGCCTGTAATCCCAGCACTCAGGAGGCAGAGGCAGGCGGTTCCCCAGGACACTGACTACCTGAACTAGTCAGAATCTGTGAGCTGAGCTCTGGGTTAAGGGAAAGCACGTACGTCAATAAACAGAATGGAGAGCGACTGAGGAAGACTTCAGACGGCAACTTCAGCCCTGCCCACCCCACACACGTATATATACTGGGACACATACCCACATGAACATATACACATGCATGCACACCACACAGGCATGTACATGGGAAAAAAAAGAGCATGAAGAGAGAGCTCCGTGCACAGGAAAGAAAGAGGAAATCTATCTAGGTTAGTGGGGAGCTGAAGTTAGGTTAACATTGGTATTATCATATCCCCAGTGACAGAGGGACCTCTGAACCAAACAGAACAGGTTAATAGTCCCCTGTGCTCCCAAAATTCAAGAAGAAGGGAGGGAAAGGCAGGAACAACAGGAGGAACTGGGAGGGATCCTGAGAGCTGGAAGACAGAATTCGTGCTGTTCCTCAGTCTTTCTGTGCCTTCAATTACACCCCTCTTTCCTAGAAAAGTAATATTTTTGTTTCATTTCTCTGTGTAGCCCTAGCTGTCCTGGAACTTGCTCTGTGGACCAGGCTGGCCTCGAACTCAGCGATCTGCTTGCCTCTGCCTCCCAGGTGCTGGGATTAAAGGCTTATGCCACCACCCATCAAGTAATAATTTTTTTAACCTCTGCTGGGTAGGGTGTGTGTACGTGGGTGTGTTTTCCTGTCTTGGGGCACACATAGCCTTGTGTGTATGTGGAGTATCAAGGTTGATAATCTGGTATCTTTTCTCAGCTGATCTTCACTTTATAGTCTTAAGACAAGGTCTCTCTTGTGTCCAGAGCTTTCCCATTCAACTAGTCTGGCTGGGGTGGTTAGCTGGCTTGCTCTACTTCCTCTGTCCTGAGATGACAAGCGGGAGGTCACACTCATTTGGCTTTTACACGGAGATCCAAATCTCGTCCTCACACTGGAATGGCAGACACGTTTGCTGCTGAGCCATTTTTCCATGCAGGAGAAACCATTTTGATTTTATAAAGTTAAAATCCAAGCCGTGGCTGTGGCTCGGTTGGTAAAGTATGTGCCTAGCATACACAAGGTCCTGGGTTTGATTCCCAGCACCACACAAGTCAGTGGTGGAAGCCCACAGCCATAACCCTAGCACTGAAGAGATACAGAAGCAGGAGGATCAGGAGTTCAAGGTCATCCTCAGCTACATAGCCTGTTTAAGGCCAGCCTGGAATACCTGAGACTCTGTCTCAAAAAAAAAAAAAACAAAAAAAAAAAAAAACCAAAAAACGAAGCATGATTAAATTAACTCATTTCCGGGCTGGAGAGATGGTTCAGCCGTTAAAGGCTAGGCTCACAACCAAAAAATATAAATTAACTCATTTCCATCAAAAGAAACCAGAGGCTAAGGAATAAGATTTGTCAGATGGAGCTGTACTTTGGACTATGGCAAAGCCTGAATAGTTGGAAATACATAAACTCACTCCCAGCTGTGCCCAGGACAAGGTCTGCATGAGACCACCGTGACACCCCGAGCCCGAAATTTCCCTCTGTGGCCTGGGCAGTTGCTGGGCAGATGGACGTTCTTATTCCCACATCCTCGGGTCTCTCTGCTGCAAGGGTGTCTGGAAGAAGGGCCACTGAGAGGAAGAAGGTGCTGCTGGGCTCAGGGAGGAACCAGTCTGCAGCCCCAGAGCTGTGGCCCTGTACCCCTGTGCAAACCCAGGAGCCTTTCCTCATTCATGGTTCACTGAACCCCAATGCGCTAAGAGACTGCAGCCTCACCCCGTTCAAGCCCCGCAGTGACCCTGAGGAGGGCAGAGCTGGAATCTGGCTTCTGAGTGTGGAGGGACTGGTAACGCACCAAGGGTCAGAGATACAGGCAGTCAAGTCTGCACGGCCCCCAGGCCTGTCTGACCCCCCCCCAGCTTGAGGTCTCTTGTGCTTTGCTATGTGCTCTCAAGGATCTTAGCCATTTCCCTGTCCCTTGCACCCCCAACTTCTAGTGACTTGTTTTGACTACCAGGGAAAGACACAGGACTGAAGGCAACTCTTTTGGAGTTGGAGCTAAATGCAGACAGCTGCGGAGCCTGAGACCTCTGTACCTCTCTCCAGGGCTCACAAGATGGGAAGGACCGTTCAAATGGCCAGAGCCTTCTAGAATACTGCTGGTCAACACCTCTGAGGGGCAGGTGTCTGAAGCCAGCCTGCCTTCTAGTCAAGTGAATAGAGGAGAAAAAGGCTTAAAAAGACCCAGGAAAGAGGCATGGCCTTCTCTTCTCTTTGCACAGTGTGTGCACCCAAAACCTCTGCCTCGAGGGGTAGTCCATGGCTTCAATTCCACCACTCCAGACCAGAGGCAAACTAGGAGTTTGCCTCTGTGAGTTCAAGACCAGCCTGGTCAACACCATAGTGAGCTCCAGGCCAGCTAGGGCTACACAGTGTATGTTGTTAAAAAACAATTAAAGAACAAAACAAAACAAAGAACAACTAACAACCATCCAAAACAAACAAACGAACAAAACCCAAAATAAGAACAAAACCCAAAAGTAGAGGTGCTTAGTCAGTCCTGCTTGGAATTTGTCACCCAGGCGCAAGAATGGCAAGCATTTTCTCTCAGCTAAGTGATGGTGGGACCCACCTCAGGAAAGCCAGAAGTCTCAGAAATTTCCAGAATCAAAGAGCCAGCAAATCCCCGTGGACTAACAGAAGGCAGCTGAAGGGAGTGAAGAATGGCGTGTCATTACAGATCCCCAGGCCCTGGCATGAGGGGTCTAATCACACCCAACATCAAAGAAAGTGGGGGAGGGGTCCCTTTCAGAAAAGTATTTAATTTGTTGCAGGGAGCACTTGCTTTATTGAGTTAGGAGATTAAGAGAGCGAAAATCTCAAATCCGCAAGGAATTTTCCCTGGTGGTGCTTTGTCGTGTTTATTAGTTTGGGGGACATTTCAGACTCTTGAAGGAGTCACTGCTGGATAGATTTAAGTGGCTTTTGGAGCGCTGCTGAGCCTTGCCCCGTGCACATAATCGGGACTGTGTGTGTGGCGGCGGTGGCGGCGGCGCTTCTGATGTGATCGATGGTGGAAGGCCAGGCTGCTAATAAGAGAGACTGTTATTAGCTCGTCTCTCTGGCATTCCCACATGAGAAGTCTGGCTGGCTATTCACTGATAATGACCTTGCCCGAGGGAGGGCTGTATCAGGTGAGGTAGGGGTGACCCACCCGCCCCATATTATGAGCCGAATCCCTTTCTCAAACCCACACTTGCCTGACTGCAAGGAAGAGGCTGGCAGGAGAATTGTCCAGGTTGGAACCGACCCAAGTGTATGAGGGCCCTTCAGGGTTACTCAGAAATAACTAGAGCTTAACGCTCAAGAGCCTTGAGGGCGAGTTCCAAATCCAAGCTGCTCTGGCTTCCACTCAGCAGCCCAAGAGCAAGAACTTGCCAGAAGGTTCTTATGAGATACATACACTCTGAGAACATTCCTGTCATGACTAGAAAAGGGCCAAAGGGTGCATGAGAAATGGGTCAGCTTAGCTGAGTTGGTGCATTCTTTTTTCCCTTTTTGGATCTCATGTAGCTCAGGCTGGCCTCAGACTTGCTACGTAGTTAAGGACGGTTTCGAATTCTTGCTCCTCAAGCTGCCTGGTTTATGTGGTGCTGGGAATGGAACCCAGGGCTTCATGCATGCTAGGCAAGCACTCTATCAAGTGATCTACAGCTCTAGTTCCACAGGAGGACACTTTCCAAAGTCCTGAATGGTTCTGCATATGTCAACAGGATGGAGGAAGCTTGAACTTCCCACTTCAGCCTTGCACTTGTTTTCATTTATGATCTTGCATAATGCTCCCTTAGAATAATCTCCCTTCTCAGTGTGGGGCACAAAGCTCCTCCAGCCCTCTGGGAAGCCTTGTTGGACCAGAACTACTCCCTCTTTATAAATCAGAGGACGATTTATAAATTCCTCTCAGTGTGGAAGTCAACAAACTTCATTCATTCATTCAAATATTTACTAAGATCTTGCTGACGGCAAGCCTTGAGCCAAGTGCTAGACATTTAAAAATGGACTGTGGCAGATGCTCTCATTGCTCAGCTGGTTTCTCTGTAAGGATGCACAGAGTCAAATAAGAGGGTATTTGGTA